TCGACTACTTTGCGCAAGCGCTCGAGGAGCCCAAGCGCCCCTTCCTCGCCATCCTCGGTGGTGCCAAGGTCTCCGACAAGATCCAGCTGATCGACAACCTGCTCGGCAAGGTCAACAGCCTCATCATCTGCGGAGGCATGTCATTCACCTTTAAGAAGACGCTCGAGGGTGTGAAGATCGGCGACAGCTTGTTCGACGAGGCCGGCAGCAAGACTGTCAAGGACCTTGTCGAGAAGGCGAAGAAGAACAACGTCAAGATTGTCTTGCCCGTTGACTACATCACTGCCGACAAGTTCGACAAGGATGCCAACACTGGCTACGCTGAGGACAAGGACGGTATCCCAGATGGCTGGATGGGTCTCGACTGCGGAGACAAGTCAATCAAGCTGTACAAGGAGGCCATTGGCGAGGCGCAGACCATCCTCTGGAACGGCCCCGCCGGTGTATTCGAGTTTGAGAAGTTCGCCAAGGGCACCAAGGCGACGCTCGATGCTGCCGTTGACGCTGCGCAGAGCGGCAAGATTGTCATCATCGGTGGTGGTGACACAGCCACTGTTGCCGCCAAGTACGGCGTAGAAGACAAGCTGTCCCACGTCTCGACTGGTGGTGGTGCGTCGCTCGAGCTGCTCGAGGGCAAGGACCTGCCCGGTGTATCCGCCCTGTCAAGTAAGTAAACCAGTCACTCATAGAAGTGAACGGCAGCTCAAGATGAGGGAAGGTCTATCTTCGAAGTTATGATTGTAGCTATAGCTCTTTTCGGTTCAATAAAGATACCGCATTCCACCTCGTGGCCTATGGACGTGATGCGTGGAGTCTTTGGGCTCACTTTCTCAACCATGCATGTGTCTCGAGCTTGCCATATCTTCATCCGTCTGAAGGGTCGTCATGTCTTCCGTTCGAATCGCGTCTGTTCGTGTCGACTGTAGGTACCGCTCATTTGCCCAGCTTCTTAAGCTCCTCCCTGGTTGTTGTTAGCACCTATACATGTCCAGTAGATAAGTGTCCTACCTCAGCTGAACCGCAAAGTCGTCATTGGTGTCATCATCGTCCCAGCTCTCTTCCCAGAGATGTGTGTTGCCGTTGGGGATCTGTGTCTCCTCCTCAGTCCAGTCTGCAGACACGTTAGCTTGATGCATCCCCCTTCAACCATTCCAACGTACCCTCTACAGGAAAGTCCTCAAACTCGTCATCCTCCTCTAGCTGTGTCGCGGGCTTCTTCTCGGGCGCCAGTGGTTGCTCGCCGTTCTTGGAGTCGCTGACGACGGCCTTCTTCATATCGTTGCTGCCTTGTGCTGAGCCGGACATTATGGCGGTTTCTGGAGATGCGATCGGCGATGTGTTACGGTACGGTTGGGTGAGTCGAGTTGTGGTTACGCGGTGTTGTGGCTTTGGTGAGCTTTGGTGATGCGGCTCTAACAGCGGAGGAGCGGCGGCGGCGATTGTCCGCAAGGCTTAGCGCGACGTCACGTGGTGCACCTGGCAACTGGGTTCGCGGGGTACGAGTCCGTCGAGGTTGCTGCTTGGCTCCGAGAAAGTTCCATGTGATGCATGGTGGTGCTTTGCTGTCGCCGTTGCACCTCATTCACTCTTTTTAAGCCGGGCCTGGGGTGCATTGGAGGGCAAAGTACGGATAATGAACATGACGTACACGTACTTTAGCTCCGAGTAGCCGGACGAAGCTGTAAGCACCGCCCGTCTGGTGGGCTTTAGTAGGTGTCTAGACACGCGCTCAGTGTCTTAGCTGGCGTATCCGCTTTACGCTGAGATTTGGATATACTTACTACCTCTCTTCATTCGATCTTTCTCGTGTCTCTCTTTCTCGGCCTCTTCTGTTTAAACTTTTTTCGACCAGTCTCTCCGCGGCGCGGGATTATTTATCCAGCATGTTCAAAGTCGGCGGTTGGCTCAAGGGCCACACGCCTGGGCATTCGAAGAGCTTAGATTCCTTGAGCGAAATGGCACAGAGTAAGTTCAAAAGCATGCATAGGTCAGGCAGGTACTAATACAACACAGTTGAGGATGCCATGAGCGGTACGAACTCCACCCAATACAGTGGCGCAGACAAGTCTAATCACACGCGAGCACAGCCGTCACCTATATCATGGCCGATGATATCGAAAGCGCCGAAGCACACCTTAGCAAAGGATCCAGTCCATTCCACCAGGTACACACCTACCTTCCAGCCCTCGGGCCCATACTTCGGTTCTAGTCTTATATCGTGTAGCTCGGAGCGGGTGTGTGTGTCTTCATACGGGCGACGCTGGGTTTCGAGCCGGAAATCGTACGCGAAGGTCTGATCGCATATTCAACATGATGTCAAGGAGATGCAGTGACTGACATGGTCGACAGCTGCCAATGCCCTATCAGTGGCCGAAAACTCCGCTTACGAACACCAACGCCGTATTAGCAAGGATCCGAATGCGTATAAATCACCTATATACCCGCCAGGCACCGAGTATGCGGTATGTCAGGCAGAGGCACAGCTGATGAGTGCTGTTGTCGGCGTGCTCAACGAGAGCTTGACGGAGGCTATCAAGAGTTTCTACAAGTTGAGGAAAGCATATCTTGCGCTGGAGGGTGTTATGGAGAACGAGAAAAAGTTTCTGGCAGAGAGGAGTACGAGCAGCGTCAACTCGGTGGGATCACGCCCCTCTTCGAAGGGCTCGGTTCGATCAAATGTGGCAAGCAGTGCTCTAAAGAGCTCTCAGGGTCCTACGTCTACCGGACCGTCCGCTGCAGCGTCGACTTCGAATCTGAAGCAGACTACTACAGTGACTGGACCGGCTGCGAAGAAGGCCATAGATGACGACGATGACGATGTCGACTTCGTGGACGCTCCAGAAGATCACACTGGCGGTGAAACGCCTGTGGAATATATGGGGCATCTCAACATCGCCGCTGACAAAGGTGCTACTGTCGAGCTAGACAATGCTCAAAAGAAGGTGGATGTCGCAGCAAGCTCGGCACCAGGGCTTCCTACCACGAACGAGAACCCATCCAACTCGCTACCAGACGCTATCGAATACTTCGAGAAGCTTACCTTGAACGATGAGGGTGATGCTGATGCAGACATCGCGTCATTCAGCAACCACCCAGTCGATGTGTTCATCCTCTCCGGATCCAACTTTTGCTTCGGCATGCTGTTACTTATTCTTTCGTTCATCCCGCCGTCTTTTGCTGGATTACTGAAGATCGTTGGCTTCAAGGGTGATAGGGAGCGAGGAATGCGAATGCTGTGGCAAGCGACTAAATTCCACAACATTCACGGTGCCATGGCTGGAGTTGTGCTCATGGGATATATCAATGGCTTCACCAACTTCTGCGACATACTTCCTACAAAGGGCGAGGGAGCATACCCGAAGGAACGGTGTCTGGCTTTGCTCCGATACATGCGCGCAAGGTACCCCAAGAGTCATCTCTGGCTGCTTGAGGAGTCCAGGATGCTCGCCTCCGAGAAGAAGTTGGAAGAGGCTGTTCAGTTCATGCACGAAGTGGGCGAGTCGAAGCTAAAACAGCTTGAGGCGCTCACGTGGTTTGAACGCAGCTTGAACAACATGTACATGCACGATTACGAAGCTACCGCTTTCGCTTTCGAGAAGTGCATTGGCCTCAACAACTGGTCCCACGCGCTGTACTACCACATCATCGCCGCCTCATACGTCGAACTCTACCGAAAACACAAGACGACCGACCCAACAAAGGCAAAAGAATATGGAACTAAGGCAGAGGAGTACATGAAGAAAGTCATGCCCAACGTCGGAAAGAAGAAGTTCATGGCCCGCCAACTCCCCTTCGACATCTTCGTCGCTCGCAAGATCCAGAAATGGGAAGCACGCGCCAAAGAGTGGAACTGCGACATCGTCGACGCGGTCGGTGTCTCCCCACTCGAGGAAATGATCTACTTCTGGAACGGATACAAGCGCATGCGAGACGATCACCTCCAAGTCTCCCTCGCCAACCTGGCCTGGAGTGAATCACCAGCCAACCCACACTGGGACAATGAGGGCGTAGACGAGAAATCCATTCTCCACGTTTTGCGCGCCGCTACCCTGCGTAACATGGACCAAACAGCTGAAGCCAAGGCCATCCTAGAGAAAGAGGTTTTGCCTGTTGATAAGTTGCTCATCACGGGTAACTTCAAAGATAACTGGACTGCGCCGTGTGCGCGCTACGAGATGGCCGCGAATATCTGGCGCGAGGCTGATGCGGATGGGCATCCGGAGAAGAATCCGCAGATACTGGTGCAGTGCAAGGATTGGTTGGATGAGGTTACGAAGATGGGTGGGTTTGATTTGGATGCTAGGTATGTGATTTTTTTATCGGTGTGTGTGGCATGTGGCTAACGTATGGATAGGATTGGTATGAAGATTACGACGGGTAAGGAGACGCTGCGGAAGTTTGGGGTGCAGTGCTAGAGGGTGATGATGTGAGGAACCTTTTGGGTTTTGTAGGTATGGGGAGTACATATAGATGGTAGGGATGTAGAAAGATAGAACGGGATGGAAGGGCATGAATACACCATAGTTCATACTCTTGTCTCCGACATGAGAGCAGTGTTGATAGATGCGCATGGCTAAGTATCACACTAAGCCTATTGTCGACTATCTATAAGCTGCTCTACGAGACGTTACTTAGTTCCTCATCTCGTCTCTATGGTAGAACAACTAGAAGTCGAGACTTGCCAGCAGCAGCAGCGGCATCTGGGTAACAGCAAAGATGCCCTAGAAAGAGGCGAATCGGCAGCTAGAAAACACGATACCTTGCTTACGTCCACGGTACATATCGCCTGAAAAGCTCATGTGCTCGACGTCTCCGCTGCCTCCAGTACTCTGGCATGAGAGTGCCCAGCAGCTCCCAGACCCATCTCACGTCAACCTTCCACCGCACCTCTCAAACCGATGTATGAGACCCTGCGTCACAACCTCCTCCTTTCGCTATGGTCGGTAACGGGCGCTGGGTGTATGGATGTAGAAGCGTATCTCGGATGTTCAATCATGATCTCACACTAGACACGTTAGCAGAATCTCCTTTCATCCGCAGACGTACATACCATCAAGATAATCCGCTGCAATCAACAACTCTAAACAAAGCTCGGGCGGGATGTCCATATCCGACACGTCTTTGCTTTCCGCGTGCTTCTGGTTGTAGTAGAGGTACTCGCAGACCTTCTCTAGCACCACACCACTAGATACCACTATTAGCCTCTTCTCTTAGGATATTTAATCTGGTGGAGATGTAGCGGGACGGAGCGAGAATGGGTGGGAGGTATGGTTGGAGTAGACGTACTTGATCGTAGGCAGGTCAACGCGATTCTGTGCGTTTTCCCGAAAGCCAGCTGTTGATGCGTTAGTCGCGCTGTGCAATCATGTGTGTCGGAGAGCGACTCACAAAGTGGATCCAGTGCTTTCTTGATCGTTCCCGCTATACAAGCTGCTGAGCGGAGGATCTTGAACTCAAAGCCGTCGTTTGAGACGAGGGTGACGTATTCGGTGGATTTGTCGTCGGCCATTGTGATGCGCGGTATGGGATATAAGCCCGAGAGCTTCTGGATGTGGTCTGAAGACGGGGTGGTTGTATATAGGAGCGTCGAGTGGGAAGTTGTGTGAGAGACGGTGGATATCGCGGGGAAGTTGCGGAGGACAGCGCGCGCTGTCACGTTTTCTCGCGTGGGCGAACGTCGAGATGGGGGGTGGATGGCTTACATCACCCATCTACATTAGACTATACCGTCTTAATTTCTTGTGAAAGAGAGCCACTACGAAGACCAATTGAACAAAGATTCAAACCCAACGGCAATTCCCTCCCCACAGACGGATTGACCGCATTCCACAAACGCAAAGTGCCCAATTCATGACCATGGCGCACCGCCCACGACACGTCCTCATCACAGGCGGCAGCCGAGGCATCGGCCTCGCAACCGCACAACTCTTCTCCAAAAACGCATACCGCTGCACCCTAATCTCACGCTCAGAACCCGATCTGAAAACCGCCATAGCAAGCCTAACACCCCTCCCATCCACCTCATCACCAGATACACCTTCAAATCCCGAGACACATGACCCTGTAGAACCAGTATCATACCAACACGGCTACATCGCAGGCGACATATCCCTAGGTTCCAACTTCTGGCATCTACACCCCTCACGCCCTTTCATCGCTCATTTGCCCAAGCCAGAGCGCACGGCGTTCTCGACACATCCTTCGCGCATCGATGTGGTTGTGAATTGTGCGGGTGTCACGCAGGCGAAGCTCTTCTCGGGATTGAATGAAGAGGACCTGGAAAGTATCATTCGGACGAATCTTACTTCTATGATGCTGGGGACGAAGTTTTTGTTACGGTATGTAAAACTCAATCGCAACTCCTACTACTTGTGTTTGTGTTTCTGTTTTAGTAGCCACGTTGTTGACTTGCTGATGCGGGTGGTAGGAATGGGTATCTGAGAGGTAAAAGTCAAGCTGAAGATGAAGATCCTGTCATTATCAATGTCAGTTCGCTACTGGGATTGCAAGGCGGCTACGGAGCCGTTGCGTATGCGGCGTCGAAAGCGGGTGTTTTGGGGTTTACTCGCGCTTTGGCTACAGAGTATGCGAGTCACAAAGTGCGGGTCAATGCTATTGTACCTGGATACGTGGAAACAGACATGACAAAAGGTACGCATGCCACGGTGTTGTTTGTTAAGGCGTGCTCTAACCACGGCCAGACCTGAATGCCACTGAGCTTCAGCAACGCATCCCGTTGAATCGTTTCGGCAGGCCCTCCGAAATCGCTCACGCAGCATTGTTCCTCGCAGAAAACCGATATGCACATAATTGTGTGTTGAACTTGGATGGCGGCTTATCTGCCGTCTGATTCCATTAACTTTACTACGCTGGTTGGTATTTTTCCCATTCAACTGCCATTCCGGCCTTGCAAGACGGCCCAGTGGCGTTCTCCAGATGTGTTTCCTTCCACCAGATGATCCAGACCGAGGTATATACCCAGTGAGTCCTCCCAAAAGACGCCCATGCCAAACGTTTCCATGCGACTGATTGGTGTATAGTACAAGAGAAAAAGAAAATCTATATGCCGTTTGTGCTTCGGTAGTGGGCGGTTTGTTGGACTGATGTTCGTGGTGGGAAGAGTAGAATGGCTGTCAAAGACGAATGAGCGCTGATGATCCAATGGCAGGGCAAGAAGAATGAAGCATATCAGATACTCCAATAATCATCTGCAGATGGCCAAAACAATCATGAGGTTCAAGGTGAGGACGATGCGCCAAGATGCGGCCAGCAACAATTTTCTTGTTGTGGGCTTATTCAGTCGTCATCAATGACAATTGCTCCGTCCTTGTCGTCCTCAATGGTTATGTGGCTGTCGTCTTTCTTCTGCGACTCCTCCATGACCTTGCCCTTCTTTCGGACGAGGTCGTCCTCTAGACCTGCTTGACTGGCTGTGCGCTTCGCAGCGCCATGCGTACTTCCATTTGTGACACCATTGGTAGCGGTGCCGTTGACAGTCGCATGACCGTTAGTCTCCGGCGCAGGTGCCTTGGGTTTGGTCGGAATCTTGATCTCATCGGGTAACCTGATCGGATTCGCGTTCTCGGTAAACTCTGTGCGTATGATGCAGAGCACTAGATCGACTTTTGCGTCTTCTTCTGAGTCGTCAGAAACCGTGAGGAAGGTGTCGTTCTTCAAGTTGAGTTCCTCAAATGTCTTGTCGAGATGAATGTCTTCGTCCATGTCATAGAGTATATCTGAATCGCGCTTGACACTGAACTCTTCTCCGTAGCCGAGCTTCTCCTTCAGGACCATGTTGATCAGATCGCTTAGCTTCGCGCGCGGTGTATCGACGTGCAGGGTGGCATAGCATACACCACACGTCGCACATTGAGGATTCGGTGGTCGGAGTGATTCGCTTGAAATGACGCGCTCGGTGCTGCGGGTGAGGAAGACCATCTTGGCTTTGTCGAGCTGATCGCGCATGACCTTGAAGGCTTGTAAGACGCAGAGACTGGCCGTCATGGCGTTTGTTGTCGCGATGGCGGGGATGATGTTGCCAGCCATTTCTGTGACGTGTTAGCAGCTATTCCAGCATTGTGTGGGCGCTTTCTTACGCTTGATGTCAAACTTGGAACGCATCTCGATGCCGAAGATGTGTGAGCGCAGATTGGCACTCGCAACCACAAAGTCCAGCGTGTCCACATCGTCCTTGTCGAAGCTGAGGATAGGTGCCGCATTGCCAACGTCGGCATTTGCGCGCGTCTCTTCCAGCCGGGTGCTGAGTCGCTTGATACTGTCCACGAAGACGGCGAAGTTCTCGGCTACATTCCATGTGACTTGGTCTTGCTGCGCGATTCCCGTGCCCACACCCAGCGACTCCTGCATGAGCGCGTCGTAGTCCAGCGCCTCTGGCGCCCGTTTGGTCTTCCACATATCTTCCATGCTCCGTAACCGCTCAATGTCCTCTTTGAACACTTTGTCAAATACGAGTCGCGGGAAATCCTGGGAACCCATGGAATCGCGAATGCGCTTCAGCGCTTGTGCCTCCTTCTGCAGGTTCGCGACTTCGCTTGCGTTGTCGGCATCTTCGCTGTGATCTAGTTCGGGCGCTTCGTCTTCCGAGGTGCCAAAGATTTCGGCGAACAGATATGACTTGCCCCATACTATGCAGTGGATGGGTTGCGAGGGTGTGCTTCGGATGGTGCATACGGGGAAGGACTTGGGCGCGGCTTTTGGCGTGCAGTCGTAGCATTCGGTTTCGCCCTATAATACAATTAGCACAATCGTTCAGTAACGTAGTCGCATTGAGGTCGCGCACCCTCTTGATAACCTGGACCTGGCCATTGAAGCCAGTCGTGCCACTCTCGATCAACGGCACATTGGCGGCAAGGCACATCCTGTTGACATGTCGCCGCGCATCGAGATTGTCCAGCGCATTGAAGACGAGGCCGAAGCTCTGGAACCACGCGACGTTGAACTGGCCATCCTTGATGTTGTCGTGGTACGCAACGATGCTGACGTCGGGATTGAACTTGCCGGCCGACTCTTTCGCAACCTATGAGCTGTCAGCGCAAGGCCTTTGACCTGCTTGTAAGTGATATCGTGCCGTACCAGTGCTTTGGACTTCTTGATATGCTCATTGCGGAACAGGAACTGGCGGTTGAGGTTGCTGAGATCGATGGTATCGAGATCGACGATGTGTATCTCGCCGAAGCCGGTGAGGACGAGGTTCTTGAGGAGTTCGCAGCCAATGCCGCCAGCTCCTACCATCAAGACGCGTGACTAGAGCGCATTAGCGACTGCCTGATACCATGTTTGCGCGTGGTTGCAGCTACCTCTTTGATGCGCTGATGGAGCGTGCCACCGAGGCTCTGTCGAGCAAACTTGTCGCGTGCCATTGCGGGTTCGGGGGTGGGAGTAGGCGCGAGCGAGGTTGTGGTGCGGGCGAGGCTACGACATGCGAAAGTTGGCGAGGTGCCCGTCTCAGGTGAAGGCGACAGGTGAGAGACGTCAGTGCAGCTGGTAGCGCCGCTCCACTGGGCCTGCGCCGCTCGCGTTCAGCCTCCGAAGCTTGGCATCTAAACGAGCGCCCTATGAGTGGATCGTGGGCCTCTGGACTGCCGGGACACACTCTGGCTGCTGCTCGCTACGACAAAAAACTTGCTTGGGAGCCTGGTGGAGCTTACTAACGACATATACGAGCCGCCGCAGAAGTCCCATTCATCACGACTACCGGAACCGGAGCTAGCGCACACCGTCGTCCATCATCATGTCGGACGACGAAGTCGACCATGAGCTGCTAGACCTCATGCGGAAGCACTGGGGTGGTGGTGCCAAAGAGGAAGGTCCGCCAGAAACAAAAGTTCTGGAAAATGCCCAGTTCATCTGCGATAACAGCATGGACGTTGCCCTCGACATGCGCTCTACCAAGGTCGCTGCCCAACTTGTGCTTGACGAGATGGAGAGGCGGGAGTACTCCACCAAAACATGGTCAGAGCATGAGCTGCACCCCAAAGCAAAAGACGAGAGCACTGTCAATTTCATCTTCACGATGGATCTGCTCAACTTCAGCTTCTGGAGCGAGAAGAGCGACGAGGAGCGCTTCGCAGTAGTCTACAAGGGAAAAAGATGGACTGGCTACTGGAGTCTGGTTGCAATTCTGCAAAGAGCGTTGGAGCAAGACATACCCATCACTAGTCCGGAATTCTGGGTCGACGAAGAATTGTGTTCGGATGAAGTACTGCGAACTGTATTCTCTTCTGGCACCGACGAGGAGATCCCCATGTTCGAGCAAAGGATGCGATGTCTAAGAGAAGCAGGCCAAATCCTAGAGGAGGTGTGTTTGTGATGCATCACCAACACAGAAGAGGAAGTTGACTTATGACTGACGTTGCAGGAATTTGACGGTAGTGTCGTCACACTTATTGAAGACGCGAACAACTCCGCTGCCGGCCTTGTGAATCTACTCGCCGCAAAGTTCAACTGTTTCAGAGATGAAGGCAGATTCGAGAACAAGAATGTGCGCTTCTTGAAGCGAGCCCAAATCTTCGTTGCAGATCTGTGGGCTGCGTTCGGTGGCGAGGGATATGGCGAGTTCAACGACATTGACAAGATCACAATGTTTGCAGGTAAGACATCTCTGCCTCTGACACAATTTATATTCCAGCTGACTGATGCATCTGCAGATTACCGCATTCCTCAAATGCTACACTCACTAGGTATTATCTGGTACTGCCCGCCTCTCGAGAACAAGGTACGCCGCCTTGAGACCATCGAGTCTGGCCACTCCTGGGAGATGCAGATCCGAGGTTGTAGTATCTGGGCTGTAGAGCTTCTCCGCAAAGAGATTCTGAAGCTGAAGCCGGACGCCAAGGTCAACGCTATTCTCATTGACTTCTTCCTGTATGATCTTGCGAAGGAGAAGGAGAAGGAGGAGGCAGACGTCATACCACACCATCGGACGAGAAGCATATGGTATTGAAAGCCAAGAACAGCGGTGCTCATGAAACCGAATCACACATTTGGGCGCCCTATCGCTTTCTGATCGGCGGGAATTAGTAGTTGGTCACTTCGTGGAGAGGTCAAAGGCGGTGGGGTCGCTTCGAGCATTCGCCACTTCCAAGTTTGCGCAACTTCCAGAGACAACGCACATCTCAGTCGTCGCATAACGGCACAAGACCAACCGCTGGATTCGCTCTCATGTCTTGTCCGCGTGACAGGCTGAGGCTGGGGCATGCAACGTTTTCTTGGCACCGTTACGCCTTCCCAGTTATCGTTAGACGCCTATGGTAAGGCTGGCCATTCAACCCCCGCAACGGCCTTACCTAACCCTGGTCTCCAGTATTCGTAGATAAATTACGATCATACTGGTGATCATTATAGCACGGATGAAGCCGCCGGTCACACATTTTCAGTAAAGCAGGGGTTTGACAACCGGGCCTATTTGCCAATTTCGGTGATTCGGGCGGGTGTTTGCACGATAGCAGCGCAACGATGAGCACGTGTGATCCACACTCTATGTCAGCAGTTCTCTTGAAATATCTAGGCACTTGGCCATCTGTCTAAGAAATTTCATTTTCGACCGACTCTCGCTTCATTCATTATTTTCATTTCGTAAGGTTCCGTTAGCGGCCTAGCTAAGGAGCAGGTGAGAGTGGTGGCTTAACTCATTCACATTTATGTACAAGTGCTCACCTGGCAAACACTCGCTTTGTTAACATTCGAACCGGAGTCCAGTTCTGCCAGCAGCAGCTCCTCTGACCAGAGCGCCTCCCACTGAACGATGGGAAACCAACAAAGTTCCGCCGTCCAGCAGTGTCTGGAGCAAGCTATCGGAAAGGATCATGTCGCCTTCAAGAACACACCACTCTACCAGATCTCACACGTCAAGCCCTACAACCTCGGTGTTCCGGTGACACCAGCGGCGGTTACCTACCCCAAGACGGCCGACGAGGTCTCCGCGATTGTAAAATGCGCAGTCGACAATAGCCTCAAAGTTCAGCCACGATGTGGTGGACATTCATACGCCAACTACGGTATCGGAGGTCAAGACAACACCATTGTAGTCGACATGAAGAACTTCCAGCAATTCTCCATGGACAAGTCTACCTGGCAGGCCACAATCGGTGGCGGTACGCTCCTTCACGACGTCACTGAGCGACTACACGACAACGGTAAACGCGCCATAGCCCATGGAACTTGTCCACAAGTCGGAATCGGAGGTCATGCAACGATAGGTGGCCTGGGACCGACTTCACGCATGTGGGGCTCCACTCTCGATCACGTAGAAGAGGTGGAAGTAGTCTTGGCGAATTCGACAGTAGTGCGTGCTTCCGAGAAGCAAAATCAAGATATCTTTTTCGCGACAAAAGGCGCTGCAGCCGGTTTCGGCATAGTCACAGAGTTCAAGATGCGCACGCAGGCCGAGCCCGGAGAAGCAGTCCTCTACTCTTACAACTTCCACGGCGGCTCGTCTGCATCAAAGGCTGAAGCGTTCAAGCAGTGGCAGAAGCTCATATCGGACCCGGCCCTTTCCAGGAAGTTCGCGAGCCAGTACATCCTCACCGAACAGCTCGGCGCCATCATCACAGGCACCTTCTTCGGCAGCCAAGCCGAATTCGACAGTCTGAACATCACATCTCGTCTCCCAACCGGTTCGGCTCTGGAATCGATAGAACTAAAAGACTGGCTGGGTGTAGTAGGCCACTGGAGCGAAGACATCGCTTTAGAGATTGTTGGCGGAATACCATCCAACTTCTACGCGAAATCCCTTTCGTACACCGAAAAAGATATCATACCCGACGAGACCATTGACAAGTTGTTCAAGTACATCGACGAAACAGACAAAGGCGGTGCACTGTGGTTTATCATCTGGGACCTTGAAGGTGGCGCTATCAACGACGTTGCGCCTGATGCTACAGCGTATGGTCATCGTGATGCGCTGTTCTACCATCAGGCTTATGCTGTTAACCTCTTTGGCAAGGTCAGTCCCCATCCCATCTCAAATAGTCTAGCAAGCATACTTACATCACCACAGGTGAACGACAAAACCCGCAATTTCCTCAACGGCTTGAACAACGTCGTTCTCGATGCGCTGCCCAACCACAACCAAGGAGCGTATGCAGGATATGTGGTTAGTAATATCCATGTACGAACTGTATGTGAGACAAATACTGACTTCGTACACTCATCTTTAGGATCCTGCACTGGGTGAGAACAGCGCGAGTCTGTATTGGGGTGGTAATGTCGAGAGGTTGGAGCGGATTAAGGCGGATGTTGATCCGTTGGATGTGTTTCACAATCCGCAGAGTGTAAGGCCGGCGAAGAGATAGGTGGAGAAGAGGGTGCTGATTTAGATAGAGGGGTGTGGCTTGGTGATATGAATTTGCCTGGCCAGGAGGCTCGGCAACGGAATAATTCTTCTTCTCATAACAATTCTTTCCAAATTCTGTGCGACGATGTCGCGATTAGTATGGTAATCGTGTGCGATGACATGGATAATTCCCGACTTGACAGCTGTCTTTGGTCGAACTTGTCTGCGCTAATGCTTGATATTGTACAGATACATGACTGTAGGAATGGGCCATACCACATGTGTAACCCAACATAGCGCAGTTGTGACCGGTTGTCTCATGCGCAACGAAGGACATGAACTAACCTTCAATACATATTATGGGCTACGTCGTCAATATGTTCTCCCCTTGTCGCCCCAACTCCAAAATATCTCCTACGATATATCTACTGCATTCGCTAGCCAATTACCTTCGACTCAAGATATCGGCAGCCGCTCTCGTTGCAGAAGTGGTGACTACTCAACAGTCAGCAATGCCCAAAGGACACACCCGCTTCACGATGCGTGTTGGCGAGGGGGTACCTAAGAAGCCTGTCGTACCCCATCGATGTTACCGCCATGAAAGACTCGATCGAGAAAAGGAATTGAAGAGTAGGATCCGCTGTAACAGTCATTCTGAAGCATTGCGCGCTGTGGCGGAATTTCGGGCATTGAGCGTGTCTGTAGCCATCGTCGTTACAACTGCGCTCTTCTGGATTTTTCGGGATAGGTAGATTGGCAGAGCAGACGTTGAGTTGTGTTGAGTTGGGTCTGACAATCCTTTCGCTGTCGTGATTGCTGGCTGTGCGCGAATGAGACGGAGGCTGGCTCCTACATGGCTTCAGCGAGGATTTTCCGAGAACTTAATAACGTTGATCAACAAAAGGCGCGTCTCTACTGCATCTGACAAGAGTTATTCGCATAACAGTTCGGATAGTCCTGATTTGGTGAACGGTGGCGTCGGTGCATCGGAACGCTGAAAGTAGCCACCTCTACATCGACTATGCGACTGCCTACAATGTTACAATTCACGTGTTTTATTTGTCGGAGTTTCGTTTGCGATCGATGCTTCCTGCCGCAATTACCAGAGTTGTTGATGGAAATTTTGTGCTGCCTAAGGAATATGTGACTTGTCGAGGTGGCAAGGCTTGTCTGTGCGGTCATGCACTAAAGATTTTCGTCCCCAGCGCCGATGGACCCTTGCTTAATTTCCACTACTCCTTCCATGGATATCATCAGAATCAAGTGCCGAGCTCACCTACATTGAGCGTATCTCTCCCCAAACTCCCAATTCCAGGCAATTGGTCATGGGCCGTTCGTTTATATGTTGACGTTGCGCTGGTACGCACCGTGTGGCGCGTGTCCTGTGGTCCAATCAGGATGTCGCGTACCAAACAGAGCACTTTGCTGACATACTCCAGTCGTTCCGTAGTATAGGCTGCGTGCTTCTGTCATGACGCCGCGGAAACCTTTTCTGCGGTTGAGGCGTTTTCGTCATCATCTAACTTCAAAGCTCTTTGGCCGCTCCGACACATTCACAAACCATTTGAGGGTTTTCTTAGGCTACGATCGTCGACCAGAAAACATGTGGAAAATTGCAAGGTTGTTATATGGGACGCGCAGCCCGCTACCTGAACATTTCGGTCGAAAAGCTCGTGTACCCGACCTTTTTGATCGGAGAGATCAAGTTTACCTGGCGCTTGAGGCCCAGCGGTTGCATTGGCATATGCCCCCACCGTACGCCTATCATGATCTGCTTGACGCTGCAGCGAGAGTGGGCCGTATTGAAGGGATCATGGGCTACAAGTTCAAAGACAAGATGATTTGCATCGAAGCGCTCAAGACCACTTCGGCGACTACACCGCTTTATTTCAATGGGGTCGTTCATCACATAGACAAAAACAACCGCCTGGCATTGCTCGGTGATCGAGTTATCTCTTTAGCTCTATGCGATGTTTGGTTCAAGACAGGAAATACCACTGGTATGTACTGCAAATAGCTCTGTTGCTTAAGCTAATACAGCGAATAGCGGAATACACTTTGATGCAGCCGGATGTAGAAAGCAGAGTTGGTTTGGGTAAGAAAGGATACGCACTCGGTATAAACGACAATCTGCTTCTTCACGATCGGCAACCCTCCACATTTAATCATGTTGCCGAGGCCTTCGAAGCTGTTCTTGGTGCTATCTACTTGGACTCTGGAAACAACATCGAAACCGTCAAGGAAGTTGTCACCGGAATCAAGCTCGATAGTCACAAGGGATTAGAAGAGCAGATTACGGCCCAGGATCGTCTGGACAGTAAAAGGCTTGCGGCGCTACAGTACTCTGATTATATGACGAACCAACCTGCCTACACTAGAAAAGCCCAGCTGGAGGCCAATCAGGCAGCACTGGCAGCGAAAGAAGCAGCAAAACTGGCGGAAAAACAGGTGGCAGATCGGCCTAGAAAGGAGGCGCAAGAAGACAATATATCCACCAAAAGTCAAATACACGATGGACACTCGGGAACAGTTCAGCCTCAAACTAAGAAGAAAAGCAGCGTTGCGCTCACACATGCGGAGGCCTCGAAAAATCTAGCCGATTCCGTGATCGAATATCGCACGAATGGTCACCCGAGTGACGCAAAGGATCTGAGACGACTTGATAGACAAGACGCGCAACGCCAAAATCCAGCCTCGAAGGAAAAAGCACCATCGCAGAATTCCAATCAGGCATCAGATTCAAAAATGCAACGACGCGCGGTCGTAGCTGCCAACAAGCTATCGAAAGAAGGCTACCTATCAAATGATGTCTTGGAACACGATGACAAGAAAACAGTCTCTAAACGCCAAGATTTGCCAGCATCTCACGCCGAGAACCAGGACAAGGTAGTCACCCGAGGCACCAAACTATCGCCGGAGGAACAAGCAGATAAGTTTGTCGCATCGATGAAGTTTCCAGCAGAAATGGAATCACCTGAGGGCTTGAAAAGCAGTGAGAAACGCATCATGAGAATAGCATGGGACAGGGCGGTACGAAAATGCGCCGACAGCATCAGAATAAGCGAAACGAGAGACTTTGAGGGAACGTTTGCGCATAGGTTGAAGCGAATGGTACGGTACCAGGTAAATGCTGGTTTGGTAAAAGACGAATCGAGAGAAACAGTGAGGCTTCTCCGCCTGCAAGCAAAGCTTCGAGGCCTCAGTCAAGGAGAAGAACAGGAGAAGACATATCGCAAGACCAATTCAAAGGTTCCAATCAAACTTAGTCGAGAGACAACACAGGCACCGGTGAGTGTTTCACCAGAGCCGAAAGCTGCGACGGCAACGAAAGCAAATCCTACACCACAAGAGACAGATCCTGCACTGGAGATAGTAGACACTGTACTAGAGAAAGCAGAGCCTCTACTAGAGACTGGTATGAACAACGATAAGCCAGTCCAAAGACGCTCAGACTCGCCGAAGGAATCCCATCTTGCAGACGCAGCCACCACAGAGATGGAAGATGAAAAGAACATACAAGTGCGCACCAAGGATGTTGAATCACTAGAAAGAGATATTCTCAACTCGCATAACACCGTATGGCAAACGGCCGATACCGCAGATGCGTCAACATCAGAGCAGCACAGCGGACGCACAACTCGTGCACGCCGTTCTGCTGCGGATGGCCAGGCGGAGAAGCCATCTGCTTTAAACGAATTCTTCGAATCGGACACGGACAGGTTCATGTCGAGCATCACGCAAAACGATTCAGAAGCGTCCGACGCCCCTCAACCGAAACCTCGTGAGGAATCTGAGATGCAGTCTTCTGACTCTTCTAAGGAGCCAGGGGAATCGTCCGCCCCATCTGCAAGGATAATATATCCCAAACGTCCCAACCGAGCCATGCGTCGTCGATCACAACATTCATGATTGCTTTTGCTCCTGGCTACAGGTACGCCAGCTGCTTGTCTATTACCGGATATGCGTCGATGCATGTGTACAATATAGTCCGAATGTATGATAACTCAGCGAGACATGCCTTTACAGTTGTATATCCATGCCTGGAAGAGTACGTGTAATATATTTGTCGCAATATCGAGATACAGAATGCGAATCTGCATTTACCCGCTTCCAGAGCTATTGACGTCTGCTTTTGAGGTCTTGCAGCCTGGCAAAGGCATCTATCTTGACCAATTTCACAGGAAATTAACGATTAGTGAGCTACTGAACATGTCGCCAAGTATCAATACGAGTTGTTGTCGTCGGTTAAGTTGGCATCGCGTCTGTGCATTAGGCGGCAACCTCGAACGTGCTAACCTCTTCTCTACCAGCGGCACAGCGAGATGTCTACTAAAGTACCATGTTCCTCGCTCCAACCCTCAACGCAAGGAGTTGGCAGAAGTCGATTTCAACATGGCATCCCACAAGCGCCCACGACTTCCACCCACCCAATTAGCCGCCATAATGAACGACTATTACACCTTTTTGACCACTCTCTACATACCATGTTCAGCTTTGAAACATCCGCCTCTGGGTGGTTGGCCGAACATTACTGCGGAGGCGACAAAGTGTCTGGACAAATCGCATGTTGTCATTGAGGTCATGAAGCATTTACCATACATTGATGAGGCTGAGGCCGGCGAGATGATCACGAACATTCACTACAAGAGCGACGTAGTAGATTACTCCACATACACGAAAGAGGACTTCGAGCGCTATGATGTATCGTATGGAGAAGACGGGCTCAAAGTTTGCATTGAAGAGATGGAGGAGCGGAAAAGGGAAGAAGAAGAGCAGCAGGAGCAGGATGACGAGGAGGGTGAAGAGGAGAACAACGACACGAATGAAGATGAACAGAACAACACCAACGAGGATGAAGAGAACAGCGAAGACGAAGACACCAATAGCGACAACGAGAACGCACCGCATGACGAAGGTTACAGTTCCGACGAAGAAGAAGACTTCGGCGACGACCCCGACGACGTCGACATGAAAGACATCCTCCTCCTATCCATGGGCTACGAATCCGGCGGACGGATCCTCCTCCTCGACGTACACAAAGGCATCATCCACGAAGACATAGTCCGCTGCAACCTCGTCTCTGGCGTATGGATAGAAGACTTCTTCGATAACATGAAAGACAAGCTCCGGAGGTTGGATTGCGTACCCGTAAGAGGCGAATTCTATGAGGGCGTGCCTGAGGTGGAGGATGATGGACCGGTGCCTGAAACGGCGGATCCGTCGATGGACGAGCATGACGAGGGGCATGTGAAGGTATACAAGAGGATTTATCGCAGGTTTGGGTGGCCGGGGAGGGAGTATAGGAAGGATGAGGCGATGGAGGCGGTGGAGAAGTATCGGGTGAGTGCTTGGGGTTATTGATGCGGAGGTTGTGGTGGAGAATGGAGTTGATAGAATGAATCGGAGAAGGATACCATAAACGAGTTATCCTAATGCTGCATAACCGTAGCCGTTGCACTGATTACAGTAGCAACCGCGGTGATAACATAACGCCACGCATTCGTCCTCGCCCACGTCTCAGCAATGGTCTTCATATCCACTTTCTCAGCCCACTTCTTCGCGGCTTCACTCGCCGTATCTTTATCTGTACCCTGACCAGCACCCTTCAGCACAACGCTCTCATCACGTAATATCTCTTGTGCTTTCCACTTTCCCGCGCCGTTCACCCCAGGCTCCATGTACAGGGCTGTGTACGGGATGATACTAGCATTTACAAGTCCTGCAACAGCGTACAGGAGCCTTGCGGAAGAAGATTGATCATTGCAAAGGTAAGCGAGGAGAACGTTAGTTGAAGCGCCGGATAAGATGAGAGGCGCGACGAAAATAGGTGCGAATTGGTAGGCTTGAAGCCATTGCTTTGCTAGGAGTTTTGGTGGGGCATGCGTGATGAGGGGTGGCATGACGACATGACTGTATGCGAAAGTGAAGCCTGGTGGATCACATTGTTAGCGGACAATTGGGACGGGTTTTGAGGCTGGTATACCCGTGTATATTGCTGGCGCAATCGTTGCGATCGCTTGCAGGATGGGCACGATGGGGATGGAAGACTCGTTCATCGCGGTTGGCTACAATGAGATGGCGCTCGGCGTGCGGTGGAGAGAATATGTCGTACGCAGGATACTGTAGGAGTTATCTGAAGTGATCTGTCAATAAGGCGTAGATGTAGGCGCTTGGGGTATAGAGCTGACGTACTAGCGCGGTGTTTTGGATGCATCAGCATGCCTTAGCTGCATATTCTGGAACAACAGTAGAACGAACGAGATCTTCCAAGATCTACATGGGCTAGAGCATGTATTTATAGCATCGATATGATCTGCACCTAGGCTTTTGTGCAAAGACGATCATGTGGTTTTGCGCAGCCCTGTTGTGAAATCAGATAAGCCTTACTTGTACAGGTATACTACAACTGATCCAGCAATCCCAAGACCTCTTGCCTGAGTTCACCCAAACCAACATCCTTCTTGAACCCTAACCTCCGGCATTGTACCTCTACTTCTCTCCTATCTGTCCAGCCTCTGCCTAACACAACGACGACAGGATATCCAATCAATTCTGCATCCTTCAACTTCCACCCTAAGCTCTTTGCTACTCGATCATCCAACACTAGATCCACATCTCCATACCGACCTTCACCGTAGATCGCGTCGTACACTTCTGCCGCGTCGCTCTCATCAACCTTTGGATATGTGAGGATGACGGCTTCATAGGGTGCTATCGCCCTTGGCCAGTTCAGCCCTTGAGCGTCTGAGAGCAGTGATGCGACAGCTCCGATGATGCGCGAAACGCCGATACCGTGGCAGCCCATTTGTATTGGAGAGGAGAGGTTTTGGTCTGGCAAGGCAACGACTGCGTTGAGGGGCTTGCTGTACCGGGTGCCGAGGTGGAAGGTGTGGCCTACTTCGATGGCTTTCTGGACGTCGAGTTTTCCGTCCGAGCAGCGAGGACATGAATCGCCAGTTCCGACGGGCGTGAGATTTAGTTTGGAAGACAGAGGATTTGAGAGTGACCTATCATTCTTGTCGAAGGCAAGGGAGGGGTCGAAGAGGTCAATGGTATTTTTGCCCTTTCGGAGCATAGAAGCGAGTGATGAGGATTCGATGCCGGTGTCCAGCTCGATCTCCTCTGGGAGTGCTTTCTTGACAGCGTGAAGATTGACATGCTCATATCTCTGTCTTACATCCGTCTCACTCTCGGATGGACGTGGTATCCACACGTTGATCTTTGTCTTTTTATCGACGCTTATACCTGTGTATGCCAGCCAGCTGTCGGTACATGACGCTACGGCTTGGCCGCTCTTTTCCACAAGCTCCTCGTTGGCGACGTAGTCGCATGAGTTGCAAGACCACACATTGTCCTCACCTTTGGGGGATACAAAATGATACTCGTGGCTCAGTTTGCCTCCCATGTTACCGGAGTCGGCATCGGCGACTAGATATGGCAGTCGAAGCTCATTGAACAGATTGTTGTATGCTTCCCGTACTTCTTCGTAAGTCTTGAGCGCGGCTTCTGTTGAGTGATCGAATGTGTAGAGATCTTTCATCATGAATTCCTTGGCCCGTAATAGTCCTTGTCTTGGTCTTCGTTCGTCGCGGTATTTGCGTCCGATCTGATACAGCCTCTGTGGCAGATCCTTATATGAATGTACCATACTGGCTACAAGTGCGGTGATCTCTTCCTCATGAGTTGGCGATAGTAAGAAGCCAGATTCTCTTCTGTCTTTGATGCGCAGGAGTTCAGAGTTTGCGGAGTAGCGACCGGACTGCCGCCATAACGATTCCGTGGTGATGGAAGAGAGCGAAAGTTTCGAAGCACCAATCGAGCTCATGTGCTTGTCGATTAGCGATTCAAGCTTATTTTGAACGCGTAAACCTAGGGGTAGGAGATGAAAGACTCCTGAATGTGCCTGCGCATGATGAGACAAGTGCTAAAAGTCAATAGGTTGTAGATGTATACCTGACGGAGAAAGCCACCCCTAACGAGAAGAGAGTGAGACTCATCTGAAGATGTGTTAATCATGATGTGATAGTCGCTCCCCTTATCCTTACCTTGCTCGCCGTCCTGGGGTGATATCCCACCCGTTGGTGCCCAGAATTTGGATAATCGAGTTCTTGAGCCGGTCTAACTCAAACATTAGCCTTGCCACCAAGAACATGAAACTTGATTGAGACGACTTACAGCTATAAACCTAGCATGTCGAAAGCCTTGTATTGGTGTTCGCTTTGATCGCGATTGCCATGCAGCTCTACGAATATACGCCGCCATGCGCGCACAACAATGACGATGTTTGATCAAAAGCACGCAAAGATCTTACAATCGCCCAGTCACTATTAGACGAAAAAGGGAGAGTGAAAATGTTGTATGTTTCGTAAATGCTGGACGACAGCGGGAGATCTGCCTCCAACATGACGAGCACAGACCACCTCGAATCTCAAAGCGCATGGAAATATTTGGACATTGAACCCATCTCTCAATTGCTCCCCGACCACATCTCACGTAAGCCTACCGATTCCTTTACTGGGCCAGTGTCCCTTCAGAAGGTACTAACCGACATTCAGAATGCCTCCACGGATACGCATCAGGCCACGCGCCCTCCGCGCCTGCACCTCGAACCCAACCCACCCCATCTCTGTACCCGCAATCGCAACCTACGCCACAGTAGCAGCGACCACCCCCGCACCCCCAATCCAGCAGACATACAAAGCCGCACCGCCCGTACTACGATACCCACCCACGCAACCACCCTCTCACAAGCCACCGGAGGTCCGCAAAACCCAACTCCACCGCCAATACCAATCGCTGCTCCGATCCTCGCCTCTGATCCTGATATTCCAGCACAACAATGTCAAAGCAGTAGAATGGATGAGCATAAGGCGGGAGCTAGCCATTGCCCTCCGCAAGCTGGACGCCGAGAGAGTGAAGAACGGGCAAGAGACGCTTGCAGAGGAGGTTAAGATGCAGGTCATCCAGACGAATATCTTCGCAAGCGCACTGCGCGTCGTCGAGTTCTTCAACCCGGAAACTTCGACAATGGATCATGCGCAACATCCTACAGACCCGCGGACACCGACGAGCGCCCAGATACCGAACACGAGTAATGACGCAGCGGATGAGCGCTTCACACACGGTCTGTCGAGACGGGCATATGAAATTGCGAATAACAGGAAGCTGAAGTTGGAACTGGAGCCTCTGCTCTCGGGTCCCCTTGCTGTTGTAGCTTTCCCTGACGTTGCGCCGCAATACCTCAAGACCGTCCTGTCCATCCTCTCGCCTTCGAAGCCTGGTTTCCCCGCTCCGAGCCGAAAAGCGAACCCAGACTACTACGAACCAGCAGTTCAAGCTGGACTCCAGAAGCTGATGCTCTTGGGAGCGAGGGTAGAGGGCAAGGTCTTCGATGTGGACGGCACGAAGTGGGTTGGTGGTATTGCTGGAGGTATTGACGGACTCCGAGCTCAGCTTGTGCATATGCTGCAGGGTGTTGGTGGCAGTCTTACTGGTGCTTTGGAGGGCGCGAGCAAGAGTTTGTACTTTACTGTTGAGGGAAGGAGAATGGATATGGAGGAGAAGGAGAAGGAGCCTGTTGAGGAAGAGAAATCGTCATAGAGTCAGATTGAGGTATGTACATTATGAACGGCAACGTTGAAGAACATGATATAAGACTTCGCTGGCCTACATGGGTGTTACAAACTGTGTTAGACCGAAAACAGTACTCCATAGGTTGACGCCTTGGTCCCTGAGTCGCTGATCATTTCTGTAAACCCTACGTCTTTCCGCGATAGCCAATTTATCGTTGAAACCCTACTCGCATGTTTCTACAACTGTACAGGCAGAGCACTTCACATGGCTACAACAAGTACAGTATTCTTGCCAAGAAGATATTGGTCCGTCGCCACATTCACTCTGCAACGATCAGCTCGGATCAGACAGAGTATATGTGGGCGTCGACTCACGCAAAACCACACTATGTCGCCCCGTTTTCGGATATCAGGATGACAAGCTCTGGGAGAGCAGATTGTTTCTTCGATTCTTCGATTTGATTTGTTCCATTGGTTCCAGTCTTGCGTATCGTGAAGATGGGATTTGCAGATTTGGTCTGCCTGCTGTAGTACAGGCCAGTCAGCCCGCATCATGGGCATTTCAATATCTTGAACTAACCACGCAAGACAAAGGGCAGTAGCAGGCACCGTCATCTCCCCTCGCCATTTTTGAAGCCGAATATCCGTAATAGTGTTGTTGGTGATGGACGGTTTGCGCCAGGCCTCGGGTCCGTACCTGCTGACTCTAACTGCCCGTAATCACGTATCGGGTAAGCGCGCCAATCATTCAGGCTGAGCATGCCACCGACCTCGATGCATGCACGTCGCCCTATTATGGCTTTCCTACTGTCCTATGAGACTTCGCGATACTCAGCCTCGTCACTCGCCCCGCGCATTATGATGACGGCGAGGTGCCCCGCTGGGATGGTTGTCATCTTCACAACCGCTTTCTGGTGGACACCATCCGGACACTCCACACTCAGCACTAGAGCGAGAACCTATGGATCATGACATATATCAATCGAATGGCCCATGGGGGAAGTTTACTCATCGACAAGAAAAGAAGCACCGTCCCGAAGATGATCTCAGGCTGTGTACTCCAGGTCAAACAAGCGCTCAGATAATCGAAAGGTTTCTATCGCCTGGAAGGGACAAAATCCTTCTCGACGAGCTTGTCCCACGTCGATGGCAAGTTTTGAGAGACTTCTTGAACGAAGTTGTTCCGGCGGCCCCACGCAGGATCGGTCCCTATCTGCACGACATAGAGAGATACAGCATGGACGACAATGTCGCGCTTGTGGATGACCGACAAAAGCATGCAGGGTGTTTCAAGATTGTTGGAAAGCCCTGTAGCGACTGCGTTATTTTTTCAAGATCAGTTCGCATTCCTGAGCTCTGTGTACGATTGCAAGAGAAGGTGCGTTGACCTTACAAATAATATGAATGCTGGCTCATTCTACGACAGAGAAGGACATACAAGGCTGAAAAGCGGATAATGTACGATCGTCGGCTCGAGAAGAGTGTATCAGCGCGACCATGAGTTTTGACTTTCGCAGATTCATACCTAATCTCACATCTGCGGCAGCTGTAGGTTTGGCAGCAACAGTAGCGGAGCGATCAGCGGTCACCGTCCGAGACTTCTTACATCGGTATCTGAAACGGGAAGTTGTATTCAGCGCAACGACAGTAAGTGTAAGAATATCGTACATTTCATTCACTGACTCCCGAAGACATGGGGCTTCTTCTTCGAGATTCACATACCATATCATGCAATGCGCCGCGGACCACTCGCGGGCACTGAAGATTCAAGATTGATAGGCGGCAAACGCCTCCGCAATACCGAACCTCTACCACTCAGAAATCATTCTAGTGACGGAGAAGATCTTTACTACCACGAAGCGCAAACTTCTTCACTCTCCTGGGGTGCTGATGAGTGGTTCTGGACTGAGCTATGTCTGGTAGACACCTACTTTGGCTCTGAGGAACATTTCAAGACTTACTTTACTGGGTGTCAGGAAGGAGATGGACTCGACCCTCCGTGTGGTGGCAGATTTCCAATGATATCTCCGCGGTTTGACCCGAGGGAGTACTTTCTTCTCAAGCTGAAGTTTCGGACGGAACAGGCAGTCACAGAGTACAGCGCACTCGTCGAAACCTTCAACAAGAGAATGGACGAATACGTAAGATACTCGGATGTATTCCGAATGACCAATACTAAGCATCATTGAAGGCACAAAGGATCCGACGCGTTTTCGAAGACGACGACGAAAGAACAAACACTAGGACAATAAGCGACGTCATCGAAACTACACAGGTTTTCATTGACAGCATCGGCGGTATAGTGGACGCTTGGGAGACTTTCCATCGCACCGAGCTGTCGCTCTTCACCAGCTACATACCTGAAAGATCGATTTGGCCAACATACATTAGCAGTATCGTGCGAAACGTTGCAGAACTAGACCGACTGCGCAAAATACTCGTTACAAAGCGAGATCGCTTCAAGTTCAAACTCGACAGCGTAAGTTCAATACCACACGCCATGCCGAAGTACGCACACTGGTCTGATAATCCACACTACACAGCTTCACACCGTCTCTAGTCTCAGCCAAACAGAGACAGGAAACCTCCAAGCAAAGACCGCAGTCACCCAAGGCGACGACCTGAAGATGCTCACCAAGATGACCGTTGTAAGTCACCCCATACCGATCCATCGCTCTTACACAGCTTCACCAAGAGCTAATCGTGACCCTCATAGTACGTCGCCTTCCCTTTACTTTTCACAACAGCATTCTTCAGCATGGATTTCGTCACAGCGAAGTACCCGTGGGCTGCATTCTTTGGGGTATTGGTGCTGATGTCATTGGTGAACTACATGATTGCTTCACCACGGAGCTCTCAGAGAAGATGGAATGAGTGTAAGGCATGGATCAGTACCTTCTTAGGAAACTGGACATACAATCGAATATAACACATCACCACGCAAAGTCGCAACATGTTTATACTTTACGATTCGATTCGTTTTATATAGGTATCCACATATGCTGCGTGGTATCCTAAGGGTATCATGAGGGATCTGCCTGCCCAAATATGCACACTTCGAAAGATTTGTAGTGGAAAATAAAAAGGACTCCCCTTCTTTCTTCGAGACAGAACTCGCGCGCGCGCGCAGACACACACAAAAAAAAAGACACAAACTCAAAACGTCCTGGGCGCCCCAATCTGGTTCCTCGTATATATAGGAGAGGTATAGGAATGTCGTGGTCGTCATATCCCAATTCGCTTGATCGATCGATCGCTCGCTCGCTTCACTCCTGCCGCGCATTATGCCAATAAAGAATAGTTTGGTGTGTGTGTGAGTGAGGGTTGGTGTGGAGAAGCATGTTCAGTCGAGCTCAATGTCGCCGTTGCTTTCGTGAACCGATTTTTCCGTTAAACGCCGATTGTGGAGAGAGATCCGTAACCCCGATGCTGCTAAGTTGATATGTGCGAAAGGAAAATCTGACGTCGCTATCGTCGTGCGCCGCCTACTTCGACCGAGTGTGATGTTCGTTCAAATTGGAGCTTTCGTCGCTTGTTCGCCATGTTCCCGCCGGGTGTGTCTTCGCCTCCGGTGGAGTCTGCATAGTCGTCTCCAAAGCCCTCGCCGTAGCCTTGGAATGCGGCATCGGTGTAGCCGCGCTTCGAGCTTGATCGCTCTGGCCTTACTGCACCCCGGTTCATATGGTTGGTCGGTGTTGGTGCGGAGGATGTGAAGGATGTGGCTCGCTGTGGTGGTATTTCCTGTGGTTTGGGTTTTACGGCATCGTCTGTGCCGAGATAGGCCTTGTATTTGGCAGCTTCTGCGTTGGGGAGAGGTCCAGGAGCTGTGCCTGCGAAGGCGTCGTCGAGAAGTCTGCTGAGGTTTGAACTCAATGCTGTGCCGTCTGCTGTCAGACCCTGCTTCTCGGGCTCTCTGTTCTGCACATGTTGCGACTGCCAAATCTCTTCAGGCATTAGCAGCAGATCCCGGAAAACGCCGTCCATCTTAGTCGCTTTTGGCTTGCCGGCGATCTGCATCTGCTTGATATGGCCCTCGTAGGACTTGCGAAGCTTGTTAATCTTCTCGCCTGTTACCGGGTCATTGCGGGCTACAGATTTGGCGAGCGGGTTGAGCCTGTAGAGTGAGATGAAATTTTGCGAGGGTTGCGGCCGTGCTATCTCAATCTTCTCGCTGCTGAGTTTGAACAATTGGCTGCCGCAAATGCCTTGGGCAGCTTTGAGTCGGCCGTCTTCGGTGTATGGCGATTCGGCTTGCCGGTTGTGGTTGGACAGCCTGTGGTGACGCAACCGCGTTATGTCATCGTCCGCGCTCTCTTCCATCGTCGCATCGCCATCGCTGTCGATATTGGCGCTCGACATGAAGCCGGCAGTGCTCGCGGGGGTCGGGAAGGGGTGCTGGTTGGATACCGATGTTGCCGACTGAGAGAGCGAGGTCGACATGGGCAGGGAGGATTGCGGTGAGCGGTCCGACACGGCGGAGTTTGTCGTGGGGAAGCCTCCATTGGATTGCGAATTCATCGAGTAGGGTGGCGAGGTGGGCGTTCGAGGGTGAATGAGCGTCTTTGTCGTCTGGCCGCTCGCCTTGGCAGCGACGTCAAAGGGCGGGCTGGCGGGTGAGAATCTTCCTATCGAGTCCAAACGTTGCCGTTTCGCGCTGTGATCCGACATAGAGGCCGTCTTCGGGGGTGGAGCGAGAGGGGAGAGCTCGTCGGCGTGCGTGGAGCGTGCAGCGGTGGGTGAGAGGAGGGCTCGTACTGAAGCGCTTGGCGTCCTCCGCGCGGGTCGACCGCGGCAGCAAGGTGGGCGCGCTACTCGATGGTGCGCATGCGAAGAGAGCGGACGGCGGCGCTGGCGACGATGGGCTGTGGGCGATGGGGCGGGGCGTGGGCGTGGCGGGATGCGCAGGAGGGTTGTGGGCGGCTGAGGGTGCGAAGATGTGAAGGAGATGATGGGGTTGACCGGCGGTTTGGGCTCAGCGCTGTCTCGACTGCTCACGTGACGTGCCGGGGCCCATGGTCCGCCATCTAAAACCGCCTTTCGTGTTAGGGCGTGTCAACCATTCATCGCCGCTGCAACAACAAGACAACCAGACAACAAAGGCTCGCCCGCTCTTCAATGCCGGCACCGCCATTCTTTGGTCGGTATGGATGACAATAGGCCGCGCGCCAGTGCCTCTGCTGCGGCCGCCTCACCTGGTGCAGCGCCGACTGCGCGCCCCGAGGCATCGAATCCACCCGCGCCGAGCAATGCGCCCAAGATCCAGCAGCCGAAACCCCAAGCTCTGCCATCGCGATCCGGCCCCAGCGCCATCCTGGTCTCGCCGCGACAGAAAGGCAACCCCATCCTCAACAGCGTGCGCTCCGTCGCATGGGAGTACTCTGACATTCCCGCCGACTATGTCGTCGGTGCCACAACATGTGCCCTCTTCCTGTCGCTCAAGTACCACCGTCTGCATCCGGAGTATATCTACAACCGCATCCGAGACTTGAAGGGCCAGTACAGCCTGCGCATCCTCCTTACCATGGTCGATATTGAAAATCATGAAGATCCATTGAGAGAGCTATCCAAGACGTCATTAGTCAACAACGTCACAGTCATGCTATGTTGGAGCGCACCGGAAGCCGGTCGCTATCTGGAACTTTTCAAGACATTCGAGAACGCTGCACCGACCAGCATTCGCGCTCAGCAAGCAGGCACTTATTCAGAGAAAATGGTCGAATTCATCACCGTACCACGCAGCATCAACAAGACAGATGCAGTAGGCTTAGTCTCTAATTTTGGAAGCATCCGCACTGCAATCAACGCTGGGCCTGAGGAAATTGGCCTAATAGCAGGGTGGGGTGACAAGAAGGTTCAACGATGGTGCAACGCCGTCAGGGAGCCCTTTCGGGTCAAGAAGGCAGCGCGACGAACCGTCGGTCAAGACAGCGGTGCAGCGACCATGTCACGCGACATCTCCATGGCAGAAGGCGAAAGCCAGATGCCGCCGACAGCGGATGCTGATGATACAGCACATCGCAGGGTGGACGATGCCGGGCCTCTTGCACTGAAGCTGGAGAGATCCGCTCCTTTTGCAACTTCAGGGTCGGATGCAGACAAACGACCCGATCATCGCATCGCTGAAGATCTCAACCAGGACGATGAAGAAGCAATGCGTGAGGCAGAGTTGGGTGCAGTCCCACGAGGCAATGAGACTCAACCCACTGCTCCAAAACCAGTGAAGCGGAAGCAGGCAGAAGAGGAAAACATGAGCGAGGGCGTCATGGCTGCACTCAGCAAGTTGAGGAAACAATGAACAATGTTCTACGACACTTTCGAAAATGCGACATGTGACTTTGCCCAATTGATGGGCAACAATCAATCCCTGACGTTCACTTTTCAAAGTCCGCTGTGATCAATACAGCATCGTTTGCAATGGCTATCGCGAACAAATTCCATGTGCAGCATGCCGTCATGCGCCCTCTCATAGGTGACCCCACTCTGGTCCTCGCCCTGCAGCTGCAGCCTAGCCTGCCCACATGCACCTACTTCACTCGGTAGCAAACACATTCAGCCTTACTCCTTCAGCCCAACCACCATTCCTTTAGATACATCGATAGACCTGCTTCTCATTGTGAGCACGTCAAGTTCAGCCATACACATCGAGACTCTTTTAGCAGCCAAATACTACCAGTCACTATCGCCCAAGATGAGCCAATTTACGCAGTTGCCAGCCGAACTCCAAATCCAAATCTTCGACTACCTTCACGCTGCCGACGTCAAATCCGCGAGAGCTGTGAGTAGAACGTTCCGAAACAATGCTACGCCTGCGCTCTTCCGCAGTATCGTTGCTTGTGCAAGATACCAAGCGCTGGGCGCCTTCCAAAACGTAAGTTCAAAACGAACCCTGGAGGTACCCGCACTATCTTTCGTAATGAGGAAGTCAATGTTAGCCTCATGTATGCCTCAAGACCACAGTTTGGTATCAAGTAGATAGAGCACGGGCATATGGGCTAATGACACGAACAGGTATCACTACACTCGATATACTCAGGCTATGTAAGAGAGATCATCTTTGATGGAACGCTATACGATGGGCATCTCGCGAAAGACCATCGCAACTACTCTCGAGCTGAAGAGGCTAGCGGCAAATTTCAATCAGGATCCTTCTACGCAATGCGAACCAGGTGGAAAAGATACCAAGAGCTTCACAAGGAGCAAGAGAGCATGAAGGAGGACGGCGTCTTGTTACAATCATGCGCACGAGGCCTTGAGAACATGCAGAACATCTCTTCCATCGTTTACTCGCCATATCAACACACCATCCCTATGGAGGTCAAGACACTGCGCGATTTGCTACCAAGAGGAGCTCGCCCGGGCGCGCTCACCGACAACCGCACCACTGACTCGGATCATCCCTTCCGCCAACTTGTTGGTGCCGTCTTTTTGTCAGATTACACCGGAATCCGTCAGCTCACCATCGAAACACCTCGTGAAGACCATCCTCGCACCGAGTTCTCTTTAAATATGTTCAGTTTCCCAGACGCCAACGACCTGAATGCCGGCAAACATCTTTTCCGAAACTTGGTTAAGCTAGACATAAGCTTATCTATCCTCAACATACCGAGTCAGACAACGCATCCTACGATTGAGATTGCCTCTCCTGAACGACAGCTTGAGAACCTGACCAAAGTCCTCGAGGCTGCCCAGGAGCTGCGGCACCTCTCCTTTGGCATACTGAAATGGAGGTATCTTAACGAGTTGATGTGGAATGGGGGCACCATTCTAGAAGGAAAATCTATCGTCGACATCATCGGTCTTGGAGCAACATGGCCGAAGCTTCGCTCATTGAAACTCGAAGGCGTATACGCCAGAGAGCGCGATCTGTGTGAACT